GGTAACACAGTCCACTTTATTCATTACAAATTTTTAACTTTAAATATTACAATTTAATTTCATTGTGCATTCAAATATTAAATCTTTATATGATTTCAATGCAAAATATTTTTCCATTTTAAAAACAAAAGTTTGAAAATAGATAATCAATCCAACGTCTCATTATTTAATAACCATGAATAGAAATTTTAGTATTTCCATTCAATTAAAATCTATTAATCAAATATTCTAATCTGCTATTTAATAATCAAAATGAATAATATATTATTTCAATAAATATATATTACACATCCGCGCGAATCACAAATAACTGCTGGAAAATAAAATAAAATAAGAATCTTATTTAAATAGAAATTAATTAAACTTAAAATGCTAATTAATAGAAAGTAAAACAAAATCTTCAAAGCAGACCCGAATATATTCTCTAGACATTACTGTATGGTTAGGTTATATTATCTTCTTGATTTTTGCGACGCATCAGCTACTGTCGGGTTATGCATGTTTTTTCACTGTAACATTAAATAAGAAGTACTAATACTTTTTAACCCCCCGCGTTAAGAGCATGTCCGACACACTCTGACTTTGAAAAATTGATAGTTAAAAGTAAAAATATTTTTAATATTATTATATATTTAATATGTGAGTCTGATATATTAAAAAAAAAAAGAGATATTATTTATTATACTCTTTATTTTTAGATGGTCTTTTAGATAAAGTGATTTAATTTTTTATTCTGTTATCTCCTATTTATTCATTTTTTCTTATTTTTTAATTTCCTTTGTTTTCTTTTTTATTTACTCTTAAATTTCTTTTTTGCGTTTAAACTGATTTCGTATTCATATATTGTCATTTCTAAAATTTAATATTTATAAAAATATTATTCGGTCACGTTACCATTCATAATTTTATTTATTAAAATATATGAGATACAATTCGAAAAGAGATACCCTACATAAACTTGTCAAAGAATCATTAACAAAAACATTGACGACTAGATAAGCAACTACCCACCATATGCACTATGAATATTCTGGACCCAAAAGATGCCATCCACAGATTTCTAGGTTCAACTGTTCAAAGGTTCACGGAGTTGGACTTTCTATCCATCACTTGCATTGTATGCAATTTGCATACGCCACGTCATTTTGCTGGCGCGCACTTCTAGGCCTGTTTGATTTTAGTTAAATTTTTTTTATAATTTCACCTTTGAATTTTTCTATTTTAATAATTTATCACCCTCAATTTTTATTTTAATAGGTAAGCAATTGAATATATAAAATTATATTTACTAAATATTTTAATTATAAAATTATTTGTAAAATCAAATTAATTAAATGTTTATTAATTAATTAAAAATTAAAAATTATTATTTTCAAAATTATGCTAACTATATATTAAATTACTATTTTAAATAAAAAATTCTAAAAATTATTATTATTAATATGAAAAGATATGTAATATTCTAAATTTTTTGCAAATTTAACTGTATAAGATGTAGTTCACAAAATTCATGATACTACACAATTAAAATTACAAATTTCAAAAGTAAATTTAATTATTCGATCATTTTTTACGGGAGAGATTCATATACTTACATGTATCATTACATTCTCACCATACACATATATAAACTATAATTTCAAGTAAGTTTTAATAATAAGCAGATCTTTATTATTTATTTTTTAGTAAAATTAGCCAAAAATAATATTTTTTTATATTTTTATATTTTTATATCTAAACATAATAAAATGTTTTGTTTTATCTAAACGTAAAATTAATTTAAAAAATTTAATTGCACAATCTATTTTTTTAAAAGGAGATATTATTATATAAATTATTTTTTAAAATTTAAAATTATTATTATTATTATTTAAAATTATTTTTTTTAAATGTTTTAGTTACTGAAGAAGAAGTATTATTTCTTCAAATATTATAGTTATTTCTTTCCACTAAGACATAATATAATAAATAAATAAAAAATAAAGCAATAAAAAAAACAATTCATAAGAAATGAATTTTTAGAGGATTACAAATTTGTTTCAGAATCCGTTTCTATGTACGTCTTCCTTGAACTTTAGATACGTGTAATGTATCCTTTTCTATTCCATTGCTAATTCGTTTATACCTAAGGGGGCCTTCATCTCTGCCAATTTTAGAAACATAATATACATTTCAAAATCCATTTCCAATCCGTTTCTAGTCCATTTCTAAATCCACTATGAGATTTTGAATCATATTCCGTTGGTAATCCATTTCTAATCCATTGTTATTCCGTAATTTTCTTGTGGCAGAATACATAAATTCATACTTAATTTTTGTAACTTTAATTTAATGCAACCTAAATTTATTGAATGAACAATCATACACTTGAATTTGCAATTTTGATAACATTGTGTTCCTTTCTATATGAACAATAATAATTTTTAAGATTTTTAATTTTTATATGTAAGATGTTAACTTGATGTATAGTTAACATAACTTTCGAAACAATATTTTTTACACTTTCAACTATGTATACTCCGTTTAGTACAAATGAGTTCAAATTGTAGAACAACTTTACAAATGAACTCTACATAGAATTTATTTATAAATAAATTCATATGTAAAATAAATCTAAAAATTAAAAATTCATTTGTTTTTATTTCTTAAAATATCATTGACATAATTTTAAAAGGTAATGAGGATAAATAGTTTTGTCATCAAATTTTAGGTTGTTTAAGTTTGTGGAATCTATTTGAAAACTCTATTTTTTACAGTGTTTTGTTTAGTTATATTTGAATTCATCAAATTGATTTCATAGAATTTAACTTTATTTTTTCATACCAAATACAAAAATTTGAATTTGTAAATGAATTATACAAAATTTTATGAATTTATATATCCAAACAACGGATTAACATGTATTTAATTGATCTGATTTTGGAACTTGAAGTTTTTAATAAAATAATTTTGCAAGTTGAAGTGTATACAAGTGTAATTTTATAAGTTAAAATATTTGGAGAATCAAAATAAAAGTTGAGAGTGTCATAATAGTTAAGTACAAAGTTCAAGAGTGAATTTATATATTCAGCTTTAAATAATTGACAACCTAACTTTATGTAGGCTACTAAAAGAGTGAAGTCTCATGAGTTGTTTGAGATTTAATATTAATCATGTTTGGCAACAACTTTTCTGAAACATTCAATATTGTTTGTTTTGGATTAAAGTTTTTATTTTTCATTTTTTTCTTAAAAAATAAATAAAACTTGTTTGTTTAAATTTGTTTAATTTTTTCTTTACTTTTTAGAAAATTATAAATTTTATGTAACTATAAATAGTAATTTACGTAATTATGTTTTTTTTAATTCTACATTTCTCTTTTTTTATTTTTTATAATATTTATGTTCATAAAGAAGAAGTTGTTATTATTATTATTATTTTAATAACTATATAAATCTAATTTCATTTATTTATCCAAAATATACAAGTAGATAGTTTCATTTCTATTAAAATTCTCTGCTTTTTTTTCTATCTCTTCACTATTTAGTATTATTTTATATTTATTATTCTTTAATCTATCTATATAAATCTAATGTCATTTAGTATTATCTGTTTATTATAATACTTAGATATTATATTTCTTATTCAATTTGATTATATACATAATAATCAATAGTTACTATAACTTTGAAATTTTATCTATATAAATCTAATGCTTCATTTAGGTATTATCTGTTTTATTATTAATACTTAGATATTATATTTCTATTCAATTTGATATATACATAATAATCAATAGTTACTATAACTTTGAAATTTAAAAATTAAAGTGTGAAATATTTTTATTATTTTATCTCAATTTTGAATTTTTAGATTTTATTATTAACTAAAATCTTTAATGGCTAAAATAGAGAGAGATTTTAAACAATAAAAGAATTTTCCACATTATGAACTAAAAGAAAGAAAAAAATAATTTTAAGAAAAAAAAAACAGCTTTGAAAAAATAAGTAAGTTAAAAACTAAAAATTGCTTTCTATGTTTCTAAATTTTATTATTAACTAAAATCTTTAATGGCTAAATAAGAGAGAGATTTAACAATTAAAAGAATTTTTCACATTATGAACTAAAAGAAAAGAAAAAATAATTTTAAGAAAAAAAAAACAGCTTTGAAAAAATAAGTAAGTAAAAACTAAAAATTGCTTCATGTTTCTAATAAATAAAAAACTAAAAACAAGCAAATATAACAAACGGAGCCTAGAGTTTTCTAAGGTCGAAACTCTATTTGTATTATTTATAGATTTGATAATGGTTATGTTGGACAATAACTTTTTAAGTAGTCAAAATGTTAAATGCTATTTTTTTATAGTGTTCGATAATATATAGTGTTTGAATTAATTTTTAGGGGTTAGGACGACATTTTATAAAAACAATTAACTCATGTAATGTTTAGTTTTTTGTGATTTATGAAAAATTACTCAAACAACTAATAATTAAATGCTACTAAAACAATAAATAGTTAATAAAATAGTTAATTTTATCGGAAAAAAATCAATATAAATATTTATATTAATATTTAAAGTTTGAGAGAACGTGCTGTCAAACGTTATTCCTTTTAACTGCAGTTAACATAAAAGCTTACTGCTACTTGAAGCATCTAACAATTATTAGTAAAACTTATTTTATCCAACAATGTCAATAAATAAATAAGTATAACTCAAAGTTAACCCAGACAGATAAATTTAACAATCATTCCTCAGTCCCATTAATTAGAAGTTAGTTACTTTTATTTTGTAGATTAGGATTGTAATTATGGTTAAATAAAGAAAATATTTTCTTTCCTGTATGTCATGAATTCATTCATTCAGAGTGGCAACCATATTTTTTTTTAATTGAAGGAAATATTTTAGATAAATAGATAGAATATTCTGTGAATCTAAACCAGGAAAATTAGCCATGAGATGAGATAACACGTGGGGCCCAACAGTAGTGGATGCGGGTCCACATGAAACAGCTGACAGCCACTGAGCCACGCAGCTATCAATCTATGTAGCCCAAACCCGAAGGCTGAGATCAGGTGGCAAAGAAGAGGCATTGGTCAGCCGCGGTGGCGAATTCAGTTTTGGCAAGCTATCGCGGTTGGCCATAGCGATTTCTCTTGCAACTAAACGCATTTTCATTACAAGAAAACGCTCGCTCATGGCTAACCGGCTGATTTTCTTTCTCGTTATGGTGATTTTCCTCTTATCAACTTGTTATGCTTCTGCTTATACGTTCTCTGGTACGTTTAATAATTAGTTTCTGTTACTTTCAGAATCTGCTATCTTTATTAATCTTGTTTATTTAATTCTGAGATAGATTATATGAATATTTTTTGTTTTTGTTATTGTCAATGATGATTTTTGATGGTTGAATTTTTTGAATAATGAAAATAATAAGATATTGGAAATGAAGATGTTGACAGCAGAAGGAATGATTTGTATCGGGAAATCTTGAGAGACGAGGCAGTTGCAAGGCTCAATGACCTTGGAAAGGTACTCAAGTTTTCTATATCCTCTCTTCAGTTTATGATAATATTGAACTTAGTCCTCAATTCTCATATGGTGTCAGAGCCCAATATGCTCATATATTACAACCATATCATCATTATTTAGTGTTTAACTTTGTATTCAGGTATTTATGTTTTTATATGATTTTATTGAAGATCTGAAGTCCTGTTTTGGTTTTGCTTAGTCCAGTTTCTTTCTGTGTCAATTTCTCTTGCATTATTTAATGAGTTCTATTGTTCCTAAATAATTATATGGGTCCTACGTGATTAGATGTATAAAGAAGAGAATGATGATGCTGATGATTATGAAAATAATAATTAAAAATAAAAAGTAGCAAACTTTTTTTATTCTTTTGATGCCTGCATTACAATTATCACTTTTTTTTTTTTTTTTAATCAAGGCCATCAACTGGTCCGACCCTTCCTCGGAGCTTCATGCACCGGACTGCCTCTTTTTTTCTTTAAGGCCATCAAGCACGGAGATTTGAATGGATTGTAAACTCTGTTAGTTGTATAGCTCCATCACTGGCATATTCCATCCTTCAACTTGTTTTTAAATTTAATTTATGACAAAAACCTTATGATCTTGCTTACATTCAAGTTGCGTCTCAATCATTCCATTTCCTCTAAGGTAGCAAATTGGGTCCTTATGAAGGTTAATAACATTATTGATTGAATCAATAGGTGAGTGATGCTGATGGCTATCTTGAGAGGACATTTATGAGTGCAGCTTCTGTGAAGGCTGGAAATCTTATTCGTAGTTGGATGGAGGATGCTGGTTTGATGACGTTAGCATTCTTCCTTTACCCTGTAATCATGATATCTGAAAAAACTTGACTTATAGACTGATGCATATATTTTTTCCAGGTGGATGGACCACATGGGCAATGTACATGGTCGAGTTGAGGGATCAAATCCAAGTGCTGAGGCTCTCTTGATTGGTTCTCATTTGGTGATGATCTTCATCTTTTTATGTTTGTGCTTATTTTTAATATTGCTTATTATTTTCAATCATTGACAGTAATGTTTCCTTGACAGGATACTGTTGTTGATGCTGGGATATTTGATGGGTCGTTAGGCATAATCTCAGCATTGTCTGCTTTAAAGGTGTTGAAAAGCAAAGGAATGCTGAGCAAACTAAAACGGCCAGTTGAGGTCAGTGAAGTATCTGCTTCAACTAGTACTCTTTGTCAAAATGTTGCTTTGAGTTGTAATCAATTTGATTGAAACAATATATTTCATTTAAACAAAATATATTATTTGGTGGCTTTTTCATGAAAAATTTGAACTTTGTCATACTGTCTCGTCTGGACAATCTATTAACAGTGCAATGGGATGTGTCTATTTATCTATCTATTGACTCGAAATGGCAGTAGGTTTGAAAAAGGATCTTAGAGTGTGTAAGGTGGGGCCAGGAGAGTCTCTTAACGCCTTCTTTTTTCTTCTCATCGGAGTTATTTCAAAAAGACTTTCCATGGTAAGGAAGAAGGGGAGAACATTTTTTTATGGAATTGCTAATATGGACAAGCTACGGTCTAGGGTAGTCTTCAAAGATGAAATTGACTAAAATATTCTATTGTCTTAACCAAAAACTTTGAAATCTTCCTATAGAAAGCTTCACCCTTGTAATTTCTTTGGAAAGTAAATCTTGAACAAATAAACCGTGTTCCTACTTATTTTTCCTTTTCTAGAGAAATATTTTCCACTAATCTAAAGTAAAAGAAGATGAACATATTACTATCCATTGGAGTGGAAGGACGGTGGAGCCAATGTATTCTCAATTCTCTGCAATTATAAAACTGTAAGAGTAGAGAGTGGAATACACAAATGATTATTAATTTAACACTCCTAGAGTGTATAACCATTGGGTATTTCGTGCATGATTTTCTATTTTATCTTATTCAAATGAAACAGTTTTTAGATGTTAGAATCATTTTAATTCCTGATTTTTTAGTTCCTACTGAAATATGCACTATGCATGACTGCAAAACACTTCCAAAAATTTAAATTTAGAATTAAATATGTTCAAGTAGTTCTTAAGCTACATCTTTTGTTGATAGTCTGATGTCAGGTTGTTTCTATCCTCATGAACCATGCAGGTTATTGCATTTAGTGATGAGGAAGGGGTGAGGTTTCAATCTACATTCTTAGGCAGCGCCGCTGTAGCTGGTATTTTACCAGTTACAGCATTACAAATATCTGATAAGAGGTTTATTTGAGTAACTTATAACCCCAATTCCATTATTAGTATCGCTCGTCATGGTCATATTCATCTGTAATCTTTGTTCAGTGGTGTAACAGTGCAAGAAAGTCTTAAGGAGAAATCCATAGGAATTACTGAAGAAAGTCTATTACAACTAAAGTATGATCCACGGTCTGTTTGGGGTTATATTGAGGTATTGAAACAATTTTTTATCCTGATAGGCCAATTCGATTTCTTTATGCACCAAGTTATTTCATTTGTATTTAGGTCTAATGTTTCTCAATTGCAGGTTCATATAGAACAAGGACCTGTGCTAGAATGGGCTGGTTTTCCCCTTGGTGTGGTTAAAGGCATAGCTGGACAGACTCGGCTAAAGGTATGTGACATGTCTTCAACATATGCAAAAGTTTGTTCCCTTAGACAAGGAAGAGTTTGTTGTGAAATTTTATCATGTAACAACATAGTCTAGAATCTAGAAGAACTTATGAACAAAGAAAGTGCTAAAGGACAATGAACTTAAAGTTAACTGGGTTAGCTAATTATGTAAATCTTGACCCTCAGAAACTATGCTTCCTTTTTGTCGAAGGATAGTCCTTTATATTCTCAGGCTTAAGTTCTCATACATCTGATGGTATTGTTAACGAAAAACTATTTTCAACTCTGTTCTCAAAGGACAAAAATAAGATAAATAATCCATATTTGGTGATGATTGAATCATGGTCTATGGATAGTGCGTTGACAGATCACATCAGCTAAAACGGATGGTGGGTAGCCCTCCCTGTTTCTCCCTCTCTTGTTCTAGTCATGAACCTTGGATATGCTGAGTAACAACAATGCTGTAGCATTTCCATCTAGATATGTGTATCTGAAATGGAGACGTTGCTGATTGGTGCTCTGTAGTGATAAAAAAAAAAAACTTTACAAAGAGAGCATGAATATTTAGTACCGATATCTAGCAACCAAGAATTAAGATTTATTATTCAGCTACAGGTGAATTATTATGGAGCTAAAGTAAATGATAAATATTATTAGATTGCACCTAGGTCTTGAATCTCCAAGGAAAATGATACAAATTTGGCCTAAGACACAAATAGGAATGAGATTGTTTTCTCACATGCCAAAGAAATTCAACTATCCACATCCTTGCATTTCTTAGGGAACATTGTTCTTATCCTTTTGTTTGTTCTCTATCTTAGGTCATACAATCAAACAAACACATGTATGATTACTACTTGTTTTTAAAATATTTACCAAAACATAAATTTGTGTTTGATTGAACGACAGAAATATTAACTAAAGATCCGAATTCAAACACTTTGAACCTTAAAAATTGGGTTTATAAACAATGTAGTTTTCATTTTAAAGAAAATGTTGTTTTGGTCTGAACAAAGAGTAAATAGTCAAATTTTATATTAGTTAAGGACCACACAGTTCGATTTTTTAAAATGGGAGGACAATTATGTTTTGGACAAAATTTCAAGGTTATTTTGTATAATTGCCCATTGAATAATGCAGGTTATGGTGAAAGGATCGCAAGGGCATGCTGGCACTGTTCCAATGTCTTTACGCCAAGACCCGATGGCCGCTGCTGCTGAGTTAATAGTATTGTTGGAAAGCCTTTGTAAACACCCTAAGGATTTTCTGTCTTATGATGGTTACTGCAATGATTCCATAGTGGAATCACTTTCCAGTTCCCTTGTTTGTACCGTTGGGGAGATATCTACCTGGCCAAGTGCTAGTAATGTAATTCCAGGCCAGGTAAGAAACTGTATTCTTTGTGCTTCTGATCTCTCTAGCAAGTGCATTGAAAGACATTATATTCTTATACTTCAGCTACAACAGTTAAATCAAATTCCTGGTTGCAGGTAACTTTTACCGTGGATTTACGAGCAATGGATGATATGGGACGTGAAGCTGTTCTTTATGAATTATCAAATCAGATCTATCATATATGCGATCGGCGCTCTGTATCTTGCATCATTGAACGCAAGGTGAAGACCAATGACGACTTCAACTGACCACTAATAATAACGTTAATCACTCTGTATGAAAGAGCTAGGTATAGGTATTGCACACGACAAAAATGGGGCAATGTTTAGATAGCTTGAAAATAGAATTATAGAATGGGAATATAAAATAGATAAAGTTAATCTGAATACAGAAAGTGAACGTAAAAATATAAAAAATGAATGAAAAAATACAAGAAGTGAACCAATATACTTTTGAGACTGTCTACAAGTGAGAAGAACAAAGAACAAGGAAGGATGAACTAGTAACATTCTTTTAGCAATTCTAAAAGGAAATTACTTATAGATATGATATAAATTTGGAAAGTCTAGACAGAAAATTTGGAAGTGTTATTGTAGAATGTAAATGAGCAATACGAAAAAATAAAAATAATCATAAAACAAAACAAGATAATGAGTTCTATTTATTTTCTGTAAAAATTTGCAGTCAAGCAGAGTCTTACTAACAAATATTGGTTTACAATGGAGCGGTACTCTGCAATATAAAGCATTTCTATGACATAACATCATATTATGTATTTCCTATTACAAGTACAGTCAATGATAACCTTTTCTGTTATGACTTGTCGCAGCATGATGCAAAAGCAGTGATCTGTGATTCAGAATTAAGTTTGCAGCTGAAATCTGCAGCCAATGCGGCACTCAAGAGAATGACCGGTGAAATTCAAGATGAAGTTCCTGTACTAATGAGTGGAGCAGGACATGATGCAATGGCCATGTCTCATCTTACCAAGGTTTTTTCTTCGACCTAATGCATAAATTTGATGCTGTACTTTCAGCAATTATCCTTGCGGTCGCTTAAATTTTACAGAAAACTTATATAATCCTACACTTTCATATTTCAATAATAACTATGGCCCTTTCTAAAATAAAATGTGAAAGTGTAGGATCATATGATTGAAACCCTGCAAAGATATTTCAATTTGGTGACGTCATGGTTATCATCGAAATGCGAAAGTATAGGATAATGATTGAAACCTTGCATAATGCAAGGGGCCATAAAGATAATTGGTCAAAGTTCAGAGTCAAATTTATGCATTGACATTTTTTTTTTCTTTCTTCTAAACAATTATACTTTGCTTGCATATGTACACATGATTAAATTTATTGTCCTGTAACCATTACGAGTTTGAACAGGTTGGAATGCTATTTGTCCGCTGCCGCGGAGGCGTAAGTCACTCTCCTGCAGAACATGTGTTGGACGATGATGTCTGGGCTGCTGGTTTGGCAGTCATGGCGTTTCTTGAGACCCAAATGTAAATAGAACAATGAGCATGTGTTGGATGATTATGTTCGTCTGCTGTTTTGTTGTTTCTTGAGATCCAATTGTAAATAAAACTTTCATTGACGTTTTACGTATAGGAAATGAATTTCATTTTTAGTTTAGTTCCTGTTTTATTTCTGTCATCCTAATATATGATAGGAAAAACAGTACGTACTCTGTAAATCTAGCAATAGATATTAAATAAATAAATACAAAATGCAAGAAAAAAAATTAAAACCAATGTAAAATATAGATTAGGGAATAAAAACTAAATCATGTGTGAAATTTGTACTTTTAAGTTATTTATATTAATCAATCAATCAAATATATATATTGAAGTTTATACTTTATTAAATTATGTATTAAGAATTCTAATTGAGAAATTTTGTTGAATTTGAAAGTTTAACTTATTAAATTTTACTTTATTAACGATTAACGATTAAGTTTATTATTATACTTCAAATATATACTTATTAAGGATACGTTTAAAGACTAGTTGCCTTAATATTGTTGATCAATTTTTTTCATATTCTTGAGGCATTAATTTTAATTTTTTGTTTTTTGGTATACCATTTTTTATTTGGCTCTCAAAAATTCTTTTAGTTTCACTATATATTTAAAGTTTGATTTTGATTTCAGTTGATAATATTTTGTTGTTATATATGTGTGAAAACGTGTTTTTACACCCTCGAAGGAGTGAAAAAACTGTGGAAAAAATCAAAACCATTCGATTTTCTGTTTCAGCGGTTTAAAAACTTTCATGATTTCAATTTTTGGTCTTTGGATCACTTATTCTAAAATATTTAATTTTTTTAGTAAAACTGAACCATTTGACCAAGCCGATACCTATCAAACCGAACCGACTAATTGAGTGTGGTTTATAAATTTATTTCGATTTGGTTCGATTTCAAAGAATATCTATTTTCCATTTTTGTGGTTCGATTTGGTTCTAAATCGAACAGCCTGTTTTACACCCCTACACCCTAGGATTGTTTGAAAATAATTGCGAAAGATATGGTTCAAACAGATGTCCAATAAATCGAGAACCGGCTAAAAACCTAAAAACTGAAAGTGATTTTCGCCCACTCTTTTGATCATAACTCGAGCTATCCCTAAATAACGAACTAGATCATCTAAAATCCCCCATTTCCTCCTATTATTGCTTTGGGATAATTATAATTATTGCAGACATCATTACAATTATTGTTGAGATAATTGTTGTTGATTTGGGATGGATTTTATTATTGTTGGGAGAGGTGTAATCAACCTAGAATCTCTACAAAAGAGCTAGAGTTAGACATGGCCACGGTTCCGGAACCGGCGGTTCCGGTTCCGATCCGATTACAAAACCTACGGTTCCGATTGGTTTTCCGGCGAATCGCATAATTTTAAATTTTAAATTTTGGATACCGGTTTAAAAAAAAATTTTATATGAACATAAAAAATTAAAAAATTGTTCGATTTGTTTGCGATGTTCAAAGAAGCTATGCTATTTCGCATTTTTGTGGTGTGCGATTGTGGATTGCTAAAATCGAACAGGCGGCGTTGTTTGTACACCGCGTTACACCCTAGGAGTTGTTTGAAATAATTGCGCAAGAGAATATGGTTCAAACAGGGATGTCCAAATAGAAGTCGAGAGAGCCGGCTAGAAGAGACCTAGAGAGAGAACTGAAAGGTGAGTTTTCGGCCCCACTCTTTTGATGATTTGAACTCGAGCGTATCCCTAAAGTAACCGAACGTAGATTCATCTAAGAGATCCGCGCCCATTTCCTCCTATTATTGCTTGTGGGATAATTATAAGTTATTGCGCAGGAGCTGATGTCTGAATGTACAATGATTGTTGAGATAGATTGTTGTTTGAGTTGTGGGATGGATTTTTAGTATTGTTTGGGAGAGTGGTAATCAACCTAGAATTCTGACAAAAAGAGCGCTAGAGTTAGACCCATGGCCCGGGTTCCGGACACCGGCGGGGGTTGTCCGTTGCCGAGTGGGGCGATTACAAAAACTGAGCGTTTGGCATTGGTTTTCCGCGAATCGGGTGCATAGTGTTAAATTTTAAATTGGATACGCGTTTAAAAGAAAGATCTTTGATGATGAGACGATGAGAAAAATGTGAAAAAAATACAGTTACAGAACTAATTGATTTAAAATAATAAGTGGAAGACCGCGTGTAATATCATAACACGAAAGAAAGTTATGCTCTTCGACACGCAGTAAAAAAGTAAAAAATGACACCGTAAAAAAAAAATTTTTCAAAATGTTGTTAAGATGTTTCGGTTTTAAAAAAAATTATGTTGAACATAAAAAATTAAAAAATGTACACCTAAAAAATTAAAAAATACTTCAATTAAATTGTATTTTTTAAAGACTCTGAATTGTTGGAAGTGTGTGAACATAGATGTCATGTTGGGTTTTTTAGGAGAAATTGTTTGAACTGAATTTTTTTTGTTGTTTAAGTTTGAACAAAGATTAAAAAAAAAAAGAAGATGTGCCTTAACTTATTTTTTTTTTTGTGTTTAAAAGAAAAACATTAAAGTTGGGCGCTACTTATCCTCTTGGGTTTAGGAGGAATCGAAAAGCCCAGCGGTAGTCTTACTTCACCTGATATCATAATATTATCCATCCCTTTTAACCGTTAATCGCTATTTGCGACAGTCGTTGATGTCGCCCGTGAGGACCCATCGTATAAATCAGAGATGAAATCTTCATTGTTGCTTTTGAGTTTCTTGGCTCTGTAGTTCGGCTTTGGTCCAAATTCAGTCCGAGGCGCACGCTTTGTGGCTTTCTAATGAAGCAGGTCTTCATCGAGAGTCGTTGTTGTCATCAAGTATGTTACCTCCTTGGAGCGTAGAAAGCTTGGTTCAAACCGCAACAGTGGGAGGACCGGGAGCTGCTAAAAATTTGCACAACAGTGGAGACCGGAGCTACTAAAATTTGTTTTGCAAGTAAAGAAAGAATTGAAAAAGTATTTGCGTGACGACTCCACCAATCTAAAATTGGAAAATCTGCATCAGCATAATCATCACCAAACTCAAAAGAAGTTGTTAGATAATTATCAAATTCAGAAATAGAACTGGATTCCCTTGTTCTTTTTTGTCTTTGCAATGAAACTTATTGAGCAACACCAACACCACTTACCCTTTATGTTGAAAATTGTGGAATATTAGATTGAGAAGAAGTAGAAATAGAAGTAGATGAACTAGAAAACTATTAATTCATTATATAATTGCATTAATATTTTGTTTAACTTCAGCACTGAGGGTGACGATTGTATATTAATACGACTATACTATCTAGCAGTCTAATATTTAAATACGGTCATAGATAAATAGTGTCAAATAGATGGCGAGCAGTAAAAGTATGCGGGGTATTCGTTTACGAGTTCTAGGATCAAATACAGGGCAATGAGCGAAAAGATAAAGAGGCTACGGTCGGTATATTTAGAAAAGAAGAAACCAGATTTTTTTGTCGATTGAAAAGAATACGAATCTTGTTAATAAATCATCATTTTAAGAATGTGCTTGGTACGGCCTACGTGGAATGAGGGGGGGGTAGCTGGGTGGGGGCGGGGGGGGGGTGAGGGGGGTGGTGAAGACTATGGATTATACACATATGTATATATATATTAATGTGATATGTGGTGGGATAATAAACTCCGACTAAATTTATAGGTAGCATCAATGGAAAAGTTTTTAAAAATCTAAAAGTGTGTGCTGCACGGAAAGTGCTTCGAATTTTGGGTAAAAATATCCTCAATGGAATTATGTAGTAAAGCAAGAAAAGAAGCGATATTAATTCTGTATAAGGAAAAAAGAGTCTTGGTGGGTGGGTTAGTAATTCATATGTTGAAATTTCCAACGAGTTTGGACATCCCCTGGGAAGAGTATCTTGTGTTGTTGCGGTGTATATATTGATACAAAAATTTAGCCCAACGAGTTTTCATCAGGATGTGGTCGCATAGAAATAAGATAGCTTTTTTAATGTGGAGAAAAAGGAGAGAAGTCAGAATTTTCAAACCATCTGTTTGTACACATAAATTTAAACATGGCATGCACATCGTTATATGAGAGAAAGTTACTCACTAGATATTTGGTTCGCAAGATTTTTTAAGTTTGAAAAGTTGACTAGTATTTGCGAGAGCGATTATCAAAGGAAATGAGTAAGAAATGTGTTTTTTATCAAGCTGAGGGTATTCATCTAAAAGTGAGAGACATTGATTGAGCTCGTTAGTGAGGAATGATTTATTTGCAGTATTGGTTATCATGCAAAAAAACACGGAAAACCCAATAATCTTTTTGGAATTTTCGAGTCATCATCAATCCAGATGAAGATGTAATACCCAGATGAAAGAAGGTGCATTTTGGGCCAATGAGAATTTCGACGTCCAAAGAGCGATCACAACAAGTGTGAAAAGCGAATTTCAAATGAGGAAAATAAAAGTTCTTAACTTTGTTTCCTTTTGTATATAAAGGAAATGATAGTAGGTTGTCGTTTACAGTATTTTTCTTGGAGTGACTCTGGTTGTGAGCACAAAAGTTTAGAATGTTGTGTGACAGATAATTTATTAGAAACCTAATTTCGTTCACCAAAACTAAAGATAAATGCGTGTCCATAGAAAGATCATTTTATCATTTTTGCTAATTCTTCTTTTTATATTTTTTCAGAATATTTAAATAAAGAAAGGTTAGAAGCGTACCCGGAAATTTGTTGTTGAGACCGATCAACTACTATTTTTGTTGGATGTTTTGCCTCCAAATGCTTCCAAAATGATCCATAGCCGTCCGCTTATTTAAATTTATAAGATTTTCCACAATAATTGCAAATTATATCGTACATTTTCTCACCTTTGAATTTTCTTGTGAAATAAATGGAGAATATGTCGGAACTTTGTCTTACTCTTGTAACAATTTTTGCTCGTTGCTCTTGCTCTTGCTCTTCATCTTCTTGAAATTGCTCATTAAAATTCGAGAGTTCTGAGGTTAGAATATCGAAATTTTCATTGGAAAAGCTTCAAAAGTTAAGAGTTGGTCGCGTGAATCATATGCGATTAGATGTCGTTTTGTGGATAGATATTCTCCAAGTTTTTCCGCACGTGCCCTTAGCGGCCGAATTGAGGGTTTCCTTGCCAGAGCTTGCCGATTTAGTTATGGATAATAAAATATGTAATTGAAAAGTTGAGATAAAGAAAAGATTAGACGGGAAGAATAATTACTTAATAAGAGATATTGTAGGGGCGGGGGGGGGTCAGAGAAGAAAAATGAATATGTAGAGGTAGAGTGAGTATATGTTGTAGAGAGGAGTAGGAGTAGAGAGTTGGTGAAGTATATTGTAGAGGGAGGTAAGTAGAGAGAGGTTGAGATTTTGTTTTGTAAGGAATGTTGTAAAATAAAAGATGAGGGGGTATTTATAATAAATGCCAGAGAAAAATTTATTTTTCCAAAGAATACGGCTTAAAAACGACCTGTAGTATAGCCGTTTATGGCTGTTGGGAGGGTAATTAAGACATTTCGACAACAAAAGTTGTAAAAAAAGAAAAGAATCAAAATGCTGACTAGTGGTACAATACGGCTAGAAACCTCCGGTTCGAAGCCGGCGGTTCTCAAGTCCGGTTCCCGACCGGTTTTTCTGGAACCCGGTTCTGGTTTCCTCAATTTGCGAGGGAACGGAAAACCGAACCGGATTTTCCGTATTGCCGGTTATGCTTACGATTGTGCCGTTTGTTACGGGTTGCCGGGCCGTTCGAGGACCGGACGGTTCCGGGGAGATGCCATGGCCTAGCTAGAGTTGGTACTTCTTAGTTATGTTTATGTTTTATCCATTCTGATTTTTATGCTAGAGATATGATGAGTCGATATTTCTTATTTTATTGTCATTTATGGTTGTTATTTGGAGAGTTAACCGAGATTTTTAATGTAAGATGTTTATGAGAACATTAGGATTAGGCCTTAGCTTAGAGTTTACTGGAATAATAACTGAAATTGCAGCGTCATGCTCATTGAGGGAGAACCGGCGGTTCCAGTCCGGTTCCGACCGGTTTTCTGGAACCGCCGGTTCTGGTTCCTCATTTGCAGGAACCGGAACCGAACCGGATTTTTCCGATTCCGGTTCTTACCGATTTCGGTTACGGTTCCGGGTCGGTTCGAACCGACGGTTCCGGGAATGCCATGCCTAGCTAGAGTTGGTACTTCTTAGTTATTTTATTTTTATCCCTATTTTATGCTAGAGATAATACTTCATATTTTTATTTTATTTTATTTATTGTTTTATTGAATTAACCAATTTTAATTAAATTTTATAAGAAACATAGATTAGGGGCTTAGAGTTTACTGAATAATAACTGAATTGCAGCTTCATGCTCATTGAGGGGGAGAATTCCGTCTTCAGGGAACCTCACCGGCCAATCACCAAACCACTGCCTCCAGCCGCTGCACACGATGGCCAAAAAGTTGAGCTTGAGGGATAAAGCCATTGAATTGCTCAGATTTTCACCTAGAGTCCTCATCCGACATCGATTTACAGAGAGGGGCAGTCCTATAGCTGAAAATCACCTCGCCAGCCTCCTTACAGTCGTTCATGGCGGAATCGTGAGGTGGAGTCAAACGCTGTAATTAATGGAGGCAAATGATTGTAAGACAATGAGTCGTCGATCGGAAGCCTTCTTGAAGGCTATCTTCACCGGTTGCGGCGGGAATCGCCCAAAAATATACCACCACAGTACTAAAATGGTCTATACCCAATTTCTCTCATATACAATCCAAATCATGTGAATTAAGCTAGAATGATATCCCTTTCGTCAAGTAGATAGGTTTCGAATGCTAAGTTGCTGGAAACAATGGCTATTTGGCTGAAAAACAGAAAGACATTTTTTGTAGGGTATCTTTGCATTTATACTCCGATTTGATCCAACCTAGGCTTGATTTGGTTTAAATCATTTTATATTCGATTTCCTATTATCTTGGGCGGTTTAAGTCTGGTTTTCAACAATTTCAAGCTCGATTTAGGTGATCTTCCATTTATTAAATTAATTTATGATAATATTTTAATATTTAATTGAATATTTGAGAAAGTTTTCGATTCAAGAGTTTCGATAACATATTTTTGGGCTCGAGCCCAACCTTCAGAATTTGGGCTTGGAGTTCAAATGTCCAAATACTTGTGGCCCATATAATCGAAAATCTAAATTTTTAATTTAAATAAAATTTGATAGTTTTGAAAATAAAATTAAAAGTCGTTTCATATTGTCTTTTGACCATAAGGACCAGACTTATGGCAAATAAACCCTAGTGGGAAGGCCATTTAGGGGTGGCCACAGTTCCGGTTCCGATTTCAAAAAATTTGGAATTAAAACCGAACAAAAAATCAACAGTTTTGGTTACAGTTCGAAATCAAACAGTTTCGGTTCTGATTTCGATTTCAATTTTAGTTCTCAACGGATCCAAAATCGACAGTTTTGGCCAATTCTCGGGTGATTTTTCGACCGTTTTTAGACGATTTCGGCTGGTTTCGAACGGCTTCGACCAGAACTAGAACTGTCAGTTCTGACTGAAACTAAAACCGCCGATTCACGGTTCCAAAACTAATGGAACCAAAACTGAACCTGTTCCCGTTCCCACGGGATTCTCGGTTCTCACCGGTTCAAAACCGATGGTTCTAGTTCTGAAAACTGGATTTCAGCCACCCTAGGCCATTTGTTATTGATTAAGTTATTGAAAGTAGAACATATCAATTGGTCGACCCGGAGGGAAAAGTATACGACCAATTCATTGATGGGAAGTATTTTAAAAAGTATGTTCATTCTATTTGGGACGGGTATATCAATTGACATTTATAAAAAGACAAGAATAATTGATCATTTAGAAAACTAGTAATTGGTCAAATACTAAAAGAGAAAAAGAGCAAATAAATATCAAAAGTATCATTTCATTTAGGAAAAGTTCATTACAATAAGTTTAACAATTTACGTCAAGAATATTGTCCTAGTCAGCCGATTTACATCAAGAATCCTATTCTAAAAATGACCATCTCTTTATACTAAAGCGAGTTGCCTTCAAATCTCCAATGAGCATGGTCTAATTAGTCACCATAAGGCCTCCAATCCCCTTGGGGAGTTAGTAGTTGAGCCTAGAGTTACCTGATCGAACATAAAAAGAGCGAGTTGGGATATGTCTCTTTAGGTATGGAAGGGGAACTTTTAATAAACCAAGTTCTAAGCAGTCGAAAGACCAACTAAGTTGGACAATTTCATATAAATCTGAAATTAGGAATTATAAACTGGCCCGCTAATGGATCTTTCTAAACTTGAGGACATTAATGGAGAAGACACGTTAGATCGACAATTTGGAAGTAATTCTCCTTCCAAATAAAGTAGCTGGAATATTATGGGGTTGAATAACCGAAAATGAAAATTTGAATCAACATGATTCAGTTGATCAAATATAAAAGGAGTTTTCGGACGGTTTCCCATAGGGGATTCTCGTGGACAAAAACAAAATTGCTTGGAAGGTATACTTAGTCGACCGTTTGGGATCATTATAAATGGTCAAGAAAAGGAGTGGAGAAGAAGAGTGATGATGGAAAAACTACGAGAATCCTTTTTCTCTCTATAGCCTATCCAAAAGGACGAGGGGTCGGGTAAGCGAAGCGTGAAGATCATTAATTACAAAGACGCATGATTGAACGGATAACAAGCCCGACTCTTCGATTATCCAAAACATGTGGTCAAAAGAAGACTGACTCCTCGGACGCAACGAATGACAGTCGCAGGAAGGGCCTGGCTCTTAACTGCACATGGGCCTCTGAGTGGAAGTCTAGCAAAAGCCCATACGCATGAGGTGTTGTTGATGCCAGCTCATTATGAAGATCCAAGAAGACAAACCCAAACCGCAGAAGCCCAAAGAAGAAAGAACAGAAGACATGTCTTACGAGGGTCACTTGGGCTAGGACCTACTTTTGTAAATATTGTACAAATATAAAGGGTATTTTAGATTTTTTATAGGTTAACAATAGTATATATTTTAGAATATTTCTTACTTCACATGCATTCATTGAATTACTATAATTAAGAAGTGAGTCCATTGTAATTAACATACAAATCTAAATAAATCGAATTGCTTAACCAAATTTAAATCACTTTTAATCCCCTCTCTTTTCCGATCTATGAATTTCTTTATATTTCTGTTATGTTACTCTCACATAGGTCTTTTCTCTCTTCGGAACTCTTTTTATTTTCATTCTCTTATGTTTCAGACTAATAGGCCCGTGGCTTATTAATTCCCTCCAATCCCGAGGCACTCTTAATTGATGCATGCTCAATGGACGCTCACCATAATTTTGGACCGAACAAGTCCATATTTAAAAAATAAAAAAAAAATTGTTTAGTGTCAGTAATACTATTTTCCAGATATAAATACGCACATCTCTTTCCCTGTCATCATACAAACCTAAAACTAAAACTCTTTCCTTTTCTTCAAAATAAACAATGACGATCAAGGACAAGAGATCCTCTTCTTACTCTTGCAAAATTCTAACCATCTTCTCTCTCATTCTCCTCTTTCCCATCTTTATCTCTGCGTCAAACTCCAAATGCAACTGTCAAACACATGAACCTCATCAAGAAGACCATAAACCCATATCAGAAGTACTAACATACAAACTTATTTCAATAGCTTCAATTCTATCTGCAAGTGCATTTGGAGTTTCTCTTCCATTCTTGGTAAAAAACATATCATTTTTAAATCCACAAGGACAAATCTTCACTCTTATAAAGTCTTTTGCAGCTGGTGTGATTTTAGCAACTGGTTTTATTCATATACTTCCTGATGCTACTGAAAGTCTTACAAGTCCTTGTCTTGAAGAAACTCCATGGAGAAAATTTCCATTCACGGGTTTTGTTTCCATGTTATCTGCCATAGGGACTCTAATGATGGAGTCTTTGGCCACAGGGTATCATAAAAGGTCTGAGTTGAGGAAAGCTCTTCCAATCAGTGGTGATGATCATCTTGATCATGATCATAATGGTGGTAATGCCAGCGGGAGTGGTCATCTTCATGGATCTAGTTTTGCTTTGCAGAGAACAAATGCGTCAGAACTTAAACGACATCGTATCGTTTCTCAGGTGAGATATAAAGATAAGTGTTGGTGAATTAATTACGTAGTAGAATATGCTTTTAAGAATAGATGTGGTGGACACAGGCATTATTGATGAATCTTCTCAGTACTCACAGTGGGCTTACCCTTGGATATTATTTATGAAAACTCCAAGTTTCTTGTCGGTACCACTTTTTTGTTTTTGGTTTTGGATTTTTGTTTTTATATTTTTAAAAAATAGGATGCATGTATAAAAAAAAAAATTATAGTTTTATTGTGAATACTTTTTTTCAAAATACTAAATAATAAAATAAACATATTTTAGCAATGTTTTTTACTACCACAATAACAATAACAACAACTATGTCTCAGCCACGTGCAAGCTGGAATCGCGGATATGAATTTTTTGTTTCTAAGGTCAGCTCTAATCAAATTAATAGCAAAACATATGGTAAATAATCTAATTACTCTTCTTGAAAAAGTAAACGAAAAAATTGGTCTTTAAATTATATTCAAATTAACATATGAGAATTTTTATTTTCAAAAATTCAATATGGTTCTTTAGTCTTTTCGTCCAAAATAGAAAGACTAATGTAATAAAAAAAATCCAAAAGGAAGAATTAAAGTGTTAACGAAAATCATAATCCAGAGATCTTTGATTATAATTTGAAATTAATTTCTCAGTCAATTTGATAATTAAAAAATATTATTTTGAATGAAAAGACTTACATGTTAGTAGAATCATATATTATGAACTTTTTAATTAGTTTTTAAAAATAAACTTTTATGTATTAATTTGAATAAATCGATGGAAACAACATTTAAGCTTATCAATGCCGTAAGGTTAAAATACTTACATAGATGTGAAGATTCTCTTCGGGAGAACTCAATAAAATATAATAAAATAAAATAAAAATGAGTCTCTTCTCCTATGCTTAATTTAAAGTTTTCCTTGATAAATTTGACTATGGAATTTTTTTTGTTATTGAATTACAATTATGGGCAGGTACTAGAAATGGGAATTGTGGTTCATTCTGTAATAATTGGGTTATCTTTGGGTGTTTCGACAAATTCAGAAACAATAAAACCTTTAGTAGCAGCATTGAGCTTTCATCAATTTTTTGAAGGAATAGGACTTGGTCAATGCATTTCTCAGGTACTATTTTCAATTCTTTTTATTTTTTTATATCTCGTTTATTATTATTTTTTTCCTTTAATTTTCATCACCCTCCTTTTTTTATGTCGGTTTGAAGCCAATGTTTCAAAACTTGCCCAACCAATTAAGGAAAAAGTGCCAAATCTAAATTTTAATCCTAATTTATAGTATATATAAATGTGGAAATAGTAGAAATAGTGAGGTTATCGATAGCACCTTGATGAATTTAAATATTTTAAAATAATCGATTAAAAATTATATTTTATTAATTGATCGGATATAATTTATTAAATTTATTTTTAAACTAAGAACATAAAGATATGTAGGTATTTTAAAATTTAAGTTTTATCTTTTTAAAATTTATTTTTAATAAAATATATATGATAATGAAATATTTGAAAATATCTCGTGTGTGATTATATTTTGTTTCTTTGAGATTTTGCATGCACCCTCTTTGTTATGCGGTGTTGAAGCCAGAGTGTTTCAAAAACTTGGGGGCCCCAAACCAATATAGAGGAAGAAAAGTGTGCCAGTCTAAATTTTAATCCTAATTGGTAGTCATTATATAGTAAATGTGTGGAAAGATAGTAGAAATAGTGAGGTTATCGATTGTAGGCACCTTTGATTGATTTAAATATTTTGGAGAGGGAGATAAAGTCGATTAAAAATATATTTTTATTAATTTGATCGTTAGGGGGGTATAATTTAATTAAATTTATTTTTGTAAAGCTAAGAACATAAAAGAGTATGTAGGTATGTTTAGAAATTAAGGTTTTGATCGTGTGTTAAAAATTTATTGGTTGAATAAATAGGTAATGATGAGTAATTGAGGAGATATTTGAAGGAATTTTGCAGGGTATTTTATTGTTTAAAGTTTGATACTTAGAATAGTTTAAAATTTATTTTTATTAGAATTGTAAAAAATATTTTATTTAGAGTGAGATAAGAAAAGAGGATGAAAATAGGTATTTTTTCTAATATGTCTTTTTTTTTTACGATTGGTTTAGAAGTTCGAATTGGAGTGAGGTATATTTTTAAAAATTAAATTTTTAAAGCTAGTGGATATATGGAGTATAGGATTAAAGCTTGGTTAAAAAATTTTTTAAATCTGTTAGCTGTTTTAAAGGTTGTAATTTAAATGAAAGATGAACATAAGATGTGCATGTGGGAGAGCAAACATTGTGGTAAAATTGTTAATTTAAAAGGATTAGGTGTATATGGTAGTTGTAAAAAATGGTGTGCAGAAAATTTTAAGGTTTAAAGGGGACGGGGTAGTGGGTTATAGTATTTTAGTGGTTAGATATATAGTATATGAAGTATGATAATAAAAGAAGCTGAGAATGAATTAAGATATATATATATAAAAGACTAAATAATAATTAACCGTTATATTTATATTAATTTCAAATGAAATTTTGTTTTGACTTTATAAAAATCTAAATAATATAAGACTAAAATTATAATCAATATTTAATATAAAAATAAAAATAGAGTATAAACAACAAGTAAGAGTGAATGATGATATAAAAAATAAATAAATAAAAATAATGAGTATAGTCAACGTGCAACACACATCATAAAAAACTAATAATATATAAATATGAAGAAACAAGTAAAGTGAGTCTATTGATTTGGGTTTAGCTATCTTTTATATTAAAATTTTCCTGAATCATATTAATAAAATTAAAATATTTATTTTCCGGTAAAAAAAGAGCGTGTGAATTGATATAAATGACATCGGCGTAATTTAAATTTATAAAAAAATTGGAATTATATTTATAATAATTTTCATTTATATATAATAATTATATTTAATATTTAATGCTCTTTTAGATTGATGCAATAGGATATGAATTGCATAAATTGCACATAATTTAAATAAAACAAAATCTATATATTTAAAGGGTATTTTTTTTAGGGAATTTAAAGGGTATTTTTAGAATAAACTTAATTGGTAAATTGTATCATTAATAAGAAAAAATTATGAAATTAAGAAATTCAACCTATCTTTCAAAATGATAGAATTTAGGTTATTATGAAATTATCAATTCATAAGTTGTAGCTTTTTTTTAATTAAATAAAAGAATCGGACAAATTCACAAAATGTTTAAATTTCATCACTCAAATTCTGTTAATTGAAAAGACCTATTCAATTTATTAAAATGTGTTAATCTAGGATTATACACACATAATCCACATAATTGAAAACATTAGTAATTGGAAAAATTATATATATTAAATTTGAAACATTAGTAATTGGGAAAAATTAATATATAGTATATATATATATATATATACAATTAAGACAACATATATAAAAAAATATATATATATATAAATTAAGACAACTTTTATTGACATGGGATATTATTATGTGTAGATTCAAGTGATCTTTGGTTCAATATGTGGTCCTGATTTTAGATTAAAGTTCCATTCATATCAAGTCAAATCAAATTCCAAAACTTACCTTGGTTTTGGGTTAGATTAAGATCACTTGATAAAGCAACTTTTTATAAAGTCTCTTTATCTTGGATTATTTGCGATAATTTTTAGATTTTTTTGTCAATTTGTAAATTAAAATATGCTCTCCGTCCATAGTTTGATAAAATATGCATATTAAGAATTTAATAAATAAAAATTATTTTGCTCTTTTTTACTCTTAACTCGTTGAGATATTAATAAAAGTCATTCATTTAATGAACAATCATAAAAATTATTATAGAAAAATTAATTATTTATATATCTAAATTTAGAAATTTTACAAATATTTTGGGAAATCTAAAAAAGAAATAACAAATAAATGAAATAGGAAAGGAGTAAATGATTTCAGCCAGTTTTGACAGTCGTTGGTCTTTGCAGTTTTAGCTTTTAAATTTGTGCGTTTTGTCATTTTGTCATCTCTCTGTTTTTTTTTTTTTTTTTTTTTTTTTTTTTTTTTTTTTTTTTTTTTTTTTTTTTGTTTTTTTTTTTTTTTTTTTTTTTTTTTGGCCCCAAATACTGTCATATTTGCCATTCTTTGTAAAAAATTAAGGAAAAAAATATTTATAATTTAAAAGAAAGGGTTAATCACTATATAGGGTCAGTGATTAATTGATATAAATGTGAAGGCCATATATCACACATTATATATTAGTTGGGATATTAATAATTCAGGCTCTTTGTTTATTTTCATTTTTATAAAAAGTTTAAAATTTGAAGTTGATAAATTTTAAGACTTATAAGCAACTCTAGACTTAGGGGTTGTAAATTAGGTTCTAGCATTCTGATAATTAAAACTCTATCTCTATTAATTTTAGAATTCAGTATCATAGCTTTTAAAGGTTAGTAAAGTTTTTTTTTTTTTTTATAAAACATTACAACATTATAATGTTTAACTTTTAGCATTTAGCATTTTAAGTCATTTTAAGTTAAACATTCTAGTGTTTTTTCCCCCACATTCAGTTAATTAAACAACTAACGTCCTTTTTTCCATTTTAAATTAAATAGTTATAAAACAATTATTTTTATCAAAAATTTCTAAAACTATTATATAAACAGCTACTAGCTACAAGCTAGTAGAACAGTGAATAATTATTACAATAACTAACACTTCTAATTTAAACAGTTAATACTAAAACAAACACTTCTAATTTAAACAATTATATTGATGAATACAATAGCTGACAATTACTAAATTAATTATTGAATGTTGCCGACAATATTGCCGAACAATAGTTGCCAATTACTAAAATAATTAATATTGCCGAAAAGAGTGGGAGCCCTTGCCCCCACAACCCAAAAGTTTTTAAAATTTTGCTTTATAAAATTATTGAATTTCTTTTTATTTTATCCCTTCTAATTTTAAAAAATTCTTTTTATTGGTCTGAACTTAGAATCTCACTTCGTCAGTTCATATATAACAGTTTTAACATGATTCTTTAATTTGGCTGTGTTTTCTTTTTTTTCTTTTTTATCATGTACCTCCGCATATATGAGTTTTTAAGCAGTCAAATATTGGGATTTATCTTTCGAAAAATAATTACTTTATATTAGGTACACTAGCTCTTCATTCATAAGTTATTATTATTATTATTATTATTATTATTATTGTTTTTGTTGTTGGTTCTTGTTCTTATTCTTGTTGTTCTTATTGTTATTGTTGTTGCTATTATTTTTATTATTTTTTAATTCTTGTTGTTCTTAGTTGTTATGTGTTGTTGCTATTTTATTTTAATTAATTTTTATTATTTATTATTATTATTAATGTTTTTTGTTGTTTGGTTTTCTGTTCTCTTAATTCTTGTTGTTCTATTGTTATTTGTTGTTGCTATTATTTGTTTAATTATTTTATTATTTATTATTATTATTATTGTTTTTGTTGTTGGTTCTTGTTCTTATTCTTGTTGTTCTTATTGTTATTGTTGTTGATATTATTATTATTATTATTATTATTGAACTTAAGTTTATCTTATTATTATTTCATGTAAGATTTATTTTCAATACACTCCTTTTAAGTGTAATTGGTTTGTCCTAATCTAACCTTTAAATTTTGACAAAAGAATCTTGTGACATTCTAAATTTTAAAATTGATCTTGCCATATCCTGAACTTTGAAATTGATATCATGACACCGTGAACTCCATTTTTTGTAACGATTTCACACCTTATTACACTAAAAACAATATTTATGGTTTTTGACTTTTATATGCAAAATATTATTTTAATACGTGGTTAATATAATTTTTAGAATAATAAATTTTATATTTTTAATTATTTAATGAGTGTTTGATCAATATATTTTTCCAAGTTGAGGTGTACAATATGTTAAATAAAGTATTTAATAAGTCATATTTTATAAATTGAAGTATTCAATGAGTCAAAGTAAAAATTGAGGGTACTATAAAATGTTTATGAAAAGTACATGAGTAAATTTATGTATTGAGCCTTTTTTTTTTTTAAAAAAAAAAAAGATTTATGTATTTGAAGCCTTTTCTGTTTTTTTTAAATTTTTTTTTTAAAAAAAAAAAAGAGATTTTAGAGTTTTTAAGTGGACAACTTTAGGATATATATATATATATATATATATTTACTGACATAATCTGAAAGTATACTGCTTAATAATCACTTGGTTGATATGGTTATGCAGGCCAAATTTAAATCCAAAGCTGTAGCCACTATGGTTATATTCTTTTCTCTAACAACTCCAAGTGGAATAGCAATTGGAATAGGAATATCAAAAGTGTATAATGAAAGCAGCCCAACTGCCCTAATTGTTGAAGGACTTCTTAACTCAGCATCTTCTGGAATCTTGATTTATATGGCACTTGTTGATCTCCTTGCTTCTGACTTCTTGAATTCTAAAATGCTAACCAATTTTAGGCTTCAACTTGGGGCAAGCCTTACTCTTCTTCTAGGAGCAGGAAGCATGTCACTCTTGGCCAAATGGGAAGACCATTAGTTCTTTTTTTTTTTTTTTTTTTTTTTTTTTTTTTTTTTTTTTTTTTTTTTTTTTTTTTTTTTTTCTTGCAATTTTTTTTTTTTTTTTTTTTTTTTTTTTTTTTTTTCTTGCAACAAATATTGTATTTAATGTCATTATTTCATCACTATTTAGTCTTGGTTATTAAAAATAATTATATAATATAGTGTAAAAGGATGAGGATTTTATCCTTAAAAAAAAAAAAAAAGATGGGGCTTTGCACTGTTAATGATGCCTCTGTCCAGCAAAAATGTGTAATATACTGTTATCTGTATTTATAAGACTGGGTATTGTGTATAGTTCAATTGGTAAAACGGTTGTTCGAATGTATTCACAAAAATAAAGATACTTTGGTGATTAAAGACTTATTAGTTACTGTCTTCAGTATCTTAGGATTAATATTTCAAGGCTCGCGCATTATAAGGATTGTTTAGTTACTATATATTTTACTTTATAGTCTATAATAATTTATAAATTATAAATTATTTTTAATACATTTATATTATTTTATGATCTACATAAATTTGGGAATTAATGTTTTGAATTACAAAAATTTTAGTTATTCACCCCTTTGCTAACCTGTGCATCTACAGTAGTCATTCGGGACACACTTGTTTGTTTGATTAAAAAAAAAAAAATCTAAGATTTTCTAATAATATTTTTATTGTTAAAAAAAATTAAATTTCTCTTTTGACTTTATTGTTTTAGGATTAATTTCTTTTCCTTTTCTTTGTAGATTAAGGTTATACAACATGATGATATTAGGATGAAATTCAGATTCCACTGTTAGATATATATATTGGCAAACTTTCTATCATCTAAAATAGTAAATAACAAGATAAAGCACCACGCATTTCGCGGATTGCTCTATTTGCTGTATATTATAAAAATTTCATTCATAACTTTTCTTTTTTACTTATTAAAAATAATTGAAAGTATTTTAGATAAAAATGATTTGAACTAAACTTGTTTAAATTTTCAAGCCTTTTACGTGTAACTGAATTTTTATATTCCAATAGTATAACAATACCATTTAAAAAATATATTATATATATTTTTCTCATAAGCTTTCGTAATTAAAGAAAAAAATAATGGCTTGCAAAAATAAATTAAATAATAAAATATTAATTTTTAGATAAATTGGCGTAACATATAGTTAGTTTAAGACTTAAAATATTGTCTTCATTAGTATATATACATATATCTAGAAAACTATTATACAATTCTTGAAAACTAAAGATATATTAAAAAAATAAAAAAAGTGTAAATATAGATAAGAGAAAAAATTCAAAATTAATAACAAATAATTATCTTTATATCTATATATTAAAAATAAATGGGTTTGTAGATATATGTAAAAAAAAAAAAAAGTTCATGTACTTAGATTTTAAGTCTTATTTTCCTATTTTATATAGGAACTAATTAAACTGCTTTTAGATTTTTTTTTTTTTTTAAATTTATGAGCACATCCAAATTAAATTACTAAAGCAATTGGCTAGATAAACAACCACTTATATGCAGCAATTTAGTAAAAAGGAACTTACAAATGTGTTATGAGTTACGGTGCCGAAAACTCAGAACACGGAAAGCATCCCGATTAACAATACTAATACAATCTCTAATACAATTAAAATCTTTAATACGATTAATTAAGAAAGAAGAAAGTGGAGTTGCATCAACTAAAAAATACATATTAATTAATGAAGTTCATAAAATCTTTAATATAATTTACAATTATAATTATAATGAATATCTACCTTGAGAAAGATGCATTTTCATAGGAAACTGCAAATATTAAGACTACTATGTAGGATGGATAACCCAATAGTGAAAGTGAAATGTGCCCGCGAATTGCCTAATAGGTCTTTTATGCGCAAGAGCTAGCTTTTGGTTAAATCGAACCAGATGCTAGAGGGAGTCCAAGACAAAGATTAAACCTTTTCTCGTATGCATCTTGCAAGATCAAAGGTAGCAAATGATGTTTTATGAATTTATGTGCTCGAGACAAATATCTACTAAAATTATAAAAAATATAGATATGAACCAATCTCTAGCAAACTAAACAAAATGAATCGAATAACTATCCCTACTACATATAATACATTCTGTGTTGGGATAACAAAATTTTTTCAAAAAAAAAAAAAAAAAAAAAAAAAAAAAAAATACTAATCCCTACTACAATATAAATACATTCTGTGTTGGGGATAACAAAATTTTTTCAAAAAAAAAAAAAAAAAAAAAAAAAAAAAAAAAGAAAAAAAAGAATCAAATAACAAATAACTACACCTACTGCAAATAAATACATTCTCTACCTATACATTCGTTGATGATGGAGTTGCAATCTGTTTTGCATGATGTAATTTATAGATGATAGTAGATAATGATCTAATTGCTAAATTTTAGGTAGAGTTCATAATTCAAATAATAATTTGTTACCGTACATAATCTGATCTATATAGTGATTTTAGAAAATATTAAGACTCAATAAAATCATAGTAAAAAGATAAAAAAACTAAAAAAATTTTAAAAAAAGAAAAATATGAATACTGAATGAAGAGAAAGCGCGTTGAACTTATTTTTTGTTTCAGGACTCTATAAATATATAGAAAATATAGATATAGATGCTAAAAAATGCACAACAAAGTAAGATCTGAAATTTCTATTTAATATCCTTGATCAAATACACTCTATAATAACAATGATCAAATATAGCGGATTCATGCTAACAATTTAAGACACTAATTAAATCATGTCAAGATTATTAATTCAAGCAGCTCTATCGGTAACAATTTCCTTGTGAAGCTATTTGCAAGACCTTTATTTCCTCCTACAATAAATATCAAGAAAGAAGTAAAGAGTAATAACCTAAATACATAGAGAACTAAACATACCCAGTAAATACTTCACTTTAAATTCCCAACAAAATGCCACTCTGTGAAAAATAAAATCAAAAGGACAATAGTTGTTGATGATAAGGGAGATTAAAAATATTAAAGAGGAGAACAGAATAGGTAATTTATAAACTTTTTTTGAATTTTGAAATACCTTGCAACTTGTCTTGAGGGATAGTGTTAGACTCTTTAGTGCCCTATTATGAAGACAATAGCTAAAATTTCTAAGATATTTATATATAGATATAAATAAATAAGATTAAATTTCAAAATTGAATTTGAATTGAATTATTTTAAGATTAGATTTCAAATTGAATAATTTAGATTTCAAAATTGAATTAACTTATTTTCTATCCCCTTCCTAATATTAGATTAGATTAAAATTCCAAAAGAAAAAAGAAAATATTCAAAAAGTTATTAAAAAAATCAGAAAATTTATAGAAAAAAAGATAAAAAGGAAAGCTTAAAATAGAAAGGAAGGATATGTCTAATTAAGCTTATATTTAAATTATCTTTCTTTTTGGTTTTTCAAAAATGGTACTTAAAAGATTTTCTTTGATTAAAAATTTTATTTTGAAAAACTTAGAGGAAAAAATATTTTTCACAAATCCTACTTTTTAAATTTTAAATTATGTCTGTGACCTAAAAAGGTTTCGTAGGAAAATAAAATTTTAAATATTGCTTTGGGTTTTCAAATGCTTGACCCATTACCTCTTTTGTGATAGCAAGCATAAAACTAACTTCCCTCTTACTAAAACTTGCTGCCAATCTCTCTCCTTCCCTCTTTTTATCTAACATTAAAATTGTTCTCTCTAACGGAAGGTTTGAGCTTCTTGCTGCAAAACTCTTGGCTTAAAGTTTAATCTTGACGAGAGATAGTATTTTCTTTTAAGTTTTTAAATTTTAAACTCTCTCATCATTCTCTTTTCTTCTTCTTGCTTCATTGCATAATATCTAAGAAAAGAGAGAAAAAAAAAAATTCTATAAAGAGTGGTTTTCAAAATCAAAATTGATTTAATCATTTAAAATTTCTTTCCTAAGCTTAACTATTGAATATCTTGCTATCTATTGTAGGTTTTATAATCTAGAATGCATATGAGCTTTTAAATCTCGAATCTTATGAGCGAAAGCTTTACACAACTGGTATCTTTCTTTCAATTTGAGATCCTCTTCCTATCGAAGCTTTAATAAATCTGTAAACTCCTTTGCTTTACCAGCTAAGTTATAGATGAACCTTCTTAGGTATTTCATTTATCCTAGGAGCTTTTGTAACTCTTATTTATGAGGAGCCTTTGCTTCCTGTGTTGCTTTGGTTTTTTTCTAATCCACTTTTATTCCTCTCTGATGAACTAGAAACCCAAGAAGTTCCCTGCTTTGATGCCAAAAGCGCACTTTGGTGGATTCATCTTCAACTGGTCCTGTCTCATCCTTAAAAGCCTTACCTTAAGTGCTCTAGAGGATCATCTTCCTTTTTTACTTCACCACTATGTCATTAATGTATATCTCCATAAAATGACCTAGCATATCATGAAACATAGCATTCATTGCATGTTAGTATGTGTCGCTTATGTTTTTCAAGCCAAATGGCATGACTAGCCACTCAAATATCGCAATAAAACCAAGACACTTGAAGGCGGTCTTAGAAATGTTCTTCAGAAAGTGTAGCCAAATTCAAGTCCTTGAAATCAATATAGACACAATTTTCCATTCTTTTCAATAATATGGCAATATTTGATAATCTTGGATATACCTTATAAGACGAATGAAGCTAGCCTTGAGTAGCTTTTCTATCTCCTCCTTGACTTTGAGAATCATCTCTTTCGATATTCTTCTTAAAGACGATGATGTTTAAATATAATTTGATGGGTAACCTGCGCTCTTCCAAACTCCATTTAAGATTTGGCATTCATGATACTCCTAGGAAAAACAATCTTTGAACTTATATAATAAGTCAATAATTTTTTACTTTAATGCTTTTTTTAATAGGTTGCTAACGAACGCAATTCTTGGATTTTCAGGAGTATCTAGGTTTACTTCTTCTAGAGAATCCTAAACATTGGCCAAAATATCATCCAGCTTGGTTGGTGTAAGATTAAGTTCATGAAGTTGGACTATGTATCCTTCTTCTTCAGGTTCCTCACAAATCACCTCATCTCCAACAACTTTCTGAATCCCATTCATAACCATCTTGTCAAAGAGCTACTACACATAAACTTTGGAGATAGCAGCTGTAGCTATTGCTACTTCCTTATCAATATATTTATAGTGCTTAATTATGAAGCTCCTCAATAAGAATCTCCTACATCGGCCTTTGATATGGCACGATGGATAAAGGCCATAGTGAGATGGTTAAATCATTATTGTCTCAGCTAAATTGCTCTCCTTCAGGTCAAACCCATTAACTTCGTCAATAATAATATCTTCTAGTTTATTGTCCTCCGCTCTCAGTGAACTAGATTCTTAAGGTACATTAACTCTGAACCATATCCTTCTTCTAGTGCCCGCATGTCTTCTGATACACTCTTTTTTTCATATATTGAATGGGTTAAAATCCACCTTGGAGCATTAGGCTTCCACAACATTTGTGTCAGAACTGAAAGGCTTAGAATTTGCTTAGACCACCTCCACATCATTTCATTTCAAGAATAATAACGACTGATGCAGAGAAGAAGGAATTCACAAGTTTGAACACGTGTCCTATCTTTTTCCAATGATTCTTGATAGTTGATAGAGGGTCTAATAAGAAACAAATATAGAAATAAAAGTCTTACTCCCAATAATAATCTCCACAGGAAGCACCTCAATACTAGTAAATGTTGTCACGAAAATAGTTGTCTCAATAAGATCATCCTTTGTCTTAATTATGTAATTATTTATGTATTAATTATAAGTTCCACTTGAATAAAATATCTCTTAAAATAGTAAAAAAAAAAAAAAAAATTTACTGTAAAATTTACATTAAATGAATACAACATTTGATTTTTAAATAACTTTACAATTTCAAAATTGTAAGACTTATATTTTTCACTCTTGAATTTTTTTTTTCTTTTTTTTTGCAACTCCATATTGTATTCAATATTATTCACTTCACACTATTGACAGCAGTTACAATAGTTTCAAACTCATCACGAACAGTACAATCCATTATAAAGCCCATTAGCATGCAATTACAGTCCTTCATAAGGGAAGAATACAAATTATACTGAAATGATTACATTATACACAGTTGAACCTAGGACTCAGAAGTCCTAGGCATCATCCATCCAATCTTGAATTTCATCTATTATCAAATACCACCTATTAATTGTATTATTGATAAAGGATAATTTGTATCCAAAAACGAAAAGGAACTTCGAGGGGAATGGTAAAGAAAGTCTATTGTCATTAATTTTCAACTATGAACGTCGATATAGCCTAGGAAAGAGTGAGGTTATGTGGGCCTTATTTGATTGACAGACGACGGCAAGACAGAAATAATAAAAGCAACTCTTCTTTATGATATGTCCAACCAAGGTGGGGGAAATCTCCTTAAATGTGATATGGCAAAATTCCATTATCCAATTGGAGCTTTGATTTGGACCGTTGATGGTGGAGCATTATTGCATGATGAAATTTGATGACATCTTCAATTCCTTGCTTTGAGCCCTTTAACCACGTATCTCACACATTGAATTCAAATCATAATGTCACTATAAACTTTTATTTCAATCTCTGTTAAAGCCTATGTTTAAAACATTCTTTATCATTTCATAGCATACTTTATCTATCTGGTATTTCTGAATGTCGTTTGAACCTGTGCTCCTAATTTTAATTTATATAAATTCCTTGTTTCTTTCTTAGCTGTCACTTCAAGTGGTGCTATTGCAATTTTAGATTATCTTCAAATTTTGAAATCGATATTCCTTCTTGCCTGAAGCATTATATGCTTTATTACCATGTCTTACGAACCATATCTTATCCATTCTTCGAATATTAGAATTTTATAATCATAAAATACAAAGAGAAATTTATATTTTAGATTCGGATTATTTGTATAAGGACACGTTAATGATAGAGTTTGAAGAAAATGGGTCAATTATTTAATTTTGGTATTAGTTTTTGGATAAATTGAAAAAACAAAATGAAATTTGAGTTTTTTATGTGTTGAATTCACATATGGAGATTTGAGTTCTTTAATTATACATTCACTAGTACAGTAACCAAGCCCAAAAGCCCGTTTTTAAGCCATTGGACAGAAGCTTGACTTTATGTATATTTGGACTTCATTTTTTTCCGTAAAATAACTTAAAGGAAAATATTTTTCACAATTTTTCATTATTTAGGTAGTTAAAAAAATGACTTTTTATTTTCAAGAGCGTAAAATATTTTTGAGACTTTGACAAACTTATTATGAACTTATAAATTTATATATATTTTTTAATTTATTAATCATTGATAACTATTACTACCACTTACTGTTCATCACAAGCCAATGTCGGCCACCATCAATTATTGGTGACTTTCATAATTTTTTTGGGCATTATTTTCATATTTAATAATAATAATTTTAAAATACAAAATTATTATTATTATTATTATGTGACTTCATAATTTTTTGGCATTATTTCATATTTAATAATAATAATTTGTTGAAAATACAAAAATTATTATTATATTATTTATTATATTTGCGTCCCTTTATGAGTTAAAAATTTTAATATTTTGTAACTAATTTTTAATAGTGCTTATGGTCTTATGAGTTAAAAATTTTAATATTTTTAACTAATTTTTAATAGTGCAACCAAACAACAGAAAATATGTCATTTGAAAAATATTTTCATGAAATATATTTTTTTTGGAAAATATTTTCTAAAAGTAAGTTATTTTCGCAAAAACAAACTGCCCCGGATTTTAGTCCACTTTCCATTATTCAAAAATTTCGAATAACTAAAACAAGTTTGGTTGAAAAGTTCTAAGGTGCTTTATTAACAGAAGCACCATATACTGTGAACAAGTTAAATTTTCAGGTTCTCGCGTTGGCTTTATTTGTAGTACTTTGACTCAATTTTTCAATTTTATCATATTTGATGGGAGCTAAAGCCTAATAGGTAATCTGTTTGAGTACATTGCCCTTAAGACAATATGTAAGCACTTTATTCATATTTTTTGAGCTTCTTTTTCTTTTATATATCAATATTTAGAAATAAGTATTCTCTTGAATCTCTTACTTTTGACTATTACTTTTCATTGGTATTTGTTATATCATTTCATTCTTTTTCACATTAATCTTTTTAATTAGAGTCATCGAAGTCAAGAATATTCTTCTAGTCACAGTGTTCAAATATTTTGTAACTCCAAATCATGTTTTTGAAAGAATTCTCTTATATAAAATAAAAAACCATGGTTTAATCATGTATAATCTGATTGGTATTTTTATATCTTGTAGAAGATTTGAGAATGGGAGGTCACGAGTTTAACTTTTTTTTTCACTACAATTTGATAATATTATTTAAAAGGGAGGGTTACATCCTGACGTAAAGCCTACATATTCTCTCATAGGTAAAAAGATTATTCTAAATATTATCTAAAAAGTCAAAAGTTTCATGGAACTAGTAGAATATTCTTGGGTTTATAAACTTTAAAATAATCCAATTATAAAAGAATTTCTTCTAAATTTTTTAAGTAAAAGAATTTCTTTCAAATGTCACTCCAAGACATTGCCCCAACAACAATTTCTTTATTCTATTACATTTGAAAATGATTGATTTTGTTTTTTCTTTACATAAAATGCAACATAGGTAAGTTATTGCACATTTACAGCATAAAACATTACATTCAAACAATACAAAGACTGAAAATAAATATCTCTATTTTTTTTTTTTTCTATCAAGCCATTATAATTTGATGGAAAAATATCTCTTTTTTATACAAAATTCATCTTATTAATTATTATATGTTGTCCAAGGTAACTTCAATTGAAGTGGCTGATATGACCCACAACCAAAACAAAAACCTTCCACACGATTTAGTGCAAGTTGAAAAGGTTGAACCAACATCAAGTCAATTGAAATCTAATTAAGCACGGACTAGTAATATAAAAATATTATATTAGATTTGGTCCGTACATTAAATAAGCTATTCTCTCGATTTAGGATTGACGGATTCAAGTTCCATCTTTGTTCCGGCGTTCTTTCGATCAGGCTCAATTTTGATGAGTTATTGAGCTCTTTTCAGTTTATTTTTAATCAATATCAGTTTTTTTTTTAAAAGGAAAAATAGCATGTGCATTAATCAGACCTTTACAAGAGTAAAAAAACATCTGAGATATTATCCCAATACATAGAGCAAGTATAAAATGGGAAGCTTTAGCTAGATTATATGCCCCTACATTAGCATTTATCCTAATCCATCTAACACTCACATGAAGTATACAATTTAAAATCAATTTGCAATAAGAAATAACCATACCAAGTTCCGACCAATTAATTAAGGAAGAATTAAGAGCAAAAATTAAAGATTGGGAATTTGAGTAGACACATCCCAGGGAGAAAATGTTGTTTTCAATCCAGCATAGGCAATTCTTGAGGGCAAGAGCTTCCACCATCAAAGGGCTCTTGTAGTTATCGTGCAAACCGGACAAACCTTTGATAAAATAGCCTTCTGCATCTTCGGTAACTGCACCATACCCTGCCATATGAAGATTGTTGAAAATAGCACCATCCACGAATACCTGCCAATCAAAATTATTATTCGCTTGGACTGACAGTGTAATCGAAATAGTCCCACCATTAGTAGGCCCGGTTTGACGATGGATAAGGTTAGCATCTGTTGTAGTTGACATTCAAACACCATGGACACCACTAGGCATAGACGCTGTATGTGCATGAACAAGATGTAGCATGTGGACATGTTGGCTTGAGTGGTATGAGCTTGAGAACTAAACAAAGAGTGGTCCCTTTAATCTTGAATCTGAGTCCGAATATTATAGAGGAGTTGTTGAGTAGATTGCACCTCGTTGTTCCATAGCAAACTGCTCCTAGCTCGCCATAGATTCCATCCAACGAAAATAATCTCCTCAACTTGATCAGACTTAAGATTATCAATAGCCTGCATCAAAAAATCTTTAAAAGAAAGAGCAATAACAGGAACAATCATACCACAGTGCTCCCAAATATCTACTCCCTTATGGCACTTATAAAGAACATGAGCACAATCCTCCTCCATGGGACAATTAAGGCAACTTCTAACAACATTAACCCCTCTCTCATGTAATTTAACCCTAGTAGGAATAATACCCTTTAAAACCCTCCAAACAAGTTCCTCTCATCTTTGGGGGAATATTAAGGTGCCAAATCTTGTTCCAAATATTACTCGTCTCTTTAACCACCCCTCCCCTAAAATATTAAGGCTAAGAAAGTAACTTGTCTTAACACTTTAAATGCCTTTTTTCTCAAAATGCCATATTAGTCTATCCTCTCTATCCACAAGGCTAAAGGAATGTTAAGGATGGCTTTAATATCTCGAAGGCTAAAAAGTTCTATAACCTTAAGACTATTCGATTCTCTATTGTCTGGTTTAAAAGGTCATAGACTCTCATATTCGAATCAATAAAATGATAACCCTCCTCAACCATGAAACTCTCTTCCTTAGGAATCCATGGGTCCCTTCTAATGAAAATACTTTTCTCATTCCCAATCCTCCATCTAATACCTTGTTTTAACATATCCCTAGCAAACATAATACTCTTCAGAGTAAAATTCGGGTTACGTCCAATGGACGCAATAAAAATTCCCTATCAGAATCGCTTGCACTACAAACTTAAAAGAACCTCAGGTTTTATTATTCCAACTATTACGGTTCCATAACTTATCTTAAAGGAAATTAAAAATCTGTCTTTTGTTTCGGCCAATAAGGAAGGGCAGACCTAAATAATTAACACCACTAAATGGATTGTTCACACCTGGAATATTGGTAACCAACCCCCTATACTCCTCAGTAACATTAGAACTAAATATAATACCTAGTTTTTGGAGGTTAAAAACTTGGCCAGACGCTTCCTTGTAATCTATTAATATATCTCTAACCTTTTGGCTCTCCCTCTTATTAGCTTTAAAGAAGAAAATGGAGTCATCTGCAAAGAGCAGATGTGAAATTCTAGGATTACCCCCTGCCTGCCCTACACCCATGAATCCACCCTCGCTCTGCTGCTTGCTTAAATAGTAAAGATAATCCCTCATTACCAATGATGAATAAATAAAGGGATAAAGGGTCCCCTTGCCTCAAGCCCCTCTCAGGAATAATAGGACCAACAATCTCATCATTGCACAGGACCGAATATTTAACAGAAGTAATACATATCATTATACAATGCACCCATTTACTACTAAACCCCATATGAATAAGCATATTCTTAAGGAAATCCCAATCAACACGATTATAGGCCTTACTAATATTGATCTTAAGTTCCACAATACTCGCATTCCCATTAGTTCTATGCTTCATGCTACGAATAATCTCAAAGGCTAACAGAATATTATCCTGGATAAGCCTACCCAGCGCAAAAGCAGACTAACTCTTAGAAATAATATTGGGTAAAATCCTCTTAAGCCTATTCGCTAGCACTTTAGAAATAATTTTGTAAAGAACATTGCATAACGAAATCGAGCAATAATGCTTAAAAGAAATGGGATTATTATTTTTTGGGATTAAAATTAAAAGTGTATTAGTAAGGGACTCAGGGAACATACCTGTATTGAGCCAACTTACACATCTTGTAAAAATGTTGCCTCCCACTATGCTCCAAAATTTTTGGTAGAAAGCGAGATTTAAACCGTCAAAGCCTTGCGATTTATCCGGATGCATCGTGTAAAACCACTATCTTGAATTTTTCAGGAGAGAAAGGTGCACATAACATCCTATTAAATTTTTGGGGACATCAAATTTATAACTTTTTGGTGATTTGTATTGTCACCTGCAAAAAGATCATTAAAATAATTTTTCTCTAAATTTTTTATCCCTTCAACATCTTTAATAATAATATTGCCTTGTGGGTTCTGCAAACACAAAATTTTGTTAGTGCTTCTCCTTTGACAGTCATTTTTCACAAGTATATGAAAATCGCAATAAGTAATATAGAATGAGTAGAGTATCGTTTCCACAGGGATTGTATACCAAGTACCAAAATTATGTTAACCTATTATTATTTAAATGGAGGGATTGTATTACCGAATACCAAAATTATGTTAACCTAGTTATTATTTAAATGGCAATTAAGGGAAATATTTTAGGAAGTTAATTAAAAACAAATAAAAGAGAAGGCAAAAAGAAATCAAGGAACAATATATGACGAAGAAGAAATCAAGGATTTAAAAGCTATGTAGGCGAATTTGACTTTACGAATTCTATCCATTTATTGTTAATTAGTTGATAATTCAGTGTTTAATTGTTTAAGTAGGAAAGAACACCCTAAAATTCACTAACAGAGCTAGGCTCCCGATTGTTTGTTAGCTATTTTTTAACTCGGTCTTAGATTATCTATCTTCTAATAGCGCAATCAACATGAATTAAATCATTAAGTTTTATGGTTTTTTATGAATCATAACCTAGGTCATTAACTTATTGAAAAACCTCTCATAGGTCAAACCATTATACTTCCGCATCAAATTATTTCTTATGTAATTTATTACCCTATTCATATATAAAAAACCCTGTCTCTCATAGTGATTATGAAATAAATCAATCCAGGGGAAGAAATTCTGCCTGAAAAGCATTAAGTTCAATAATAAAGTTATATCATGACAGAAAAGGCAAATCTTAATATTATAAAAATTAGAATCAAAATTAAGTTTACATCAAATCCTTATATGAGAGTTTTAGTTCGAACATAGTAATTAAATAAAAAACTCAATTAACTTTTAAATATTCTCATAATTCAACATCCCGAACTATTGAAAATTAAATGAAGAAAAGAGTTTAGAAATAAAAACTATTATGATTGGTAAAAGAGTTTAGAAATAAAAACTAGTTAATGATTGGTTTGGGCGGCTTCCTTGAATCTTGGCACAAATCTTGAATACTTGAAGTCTGGGAGAGAGAGAGAAAATAATAGAACAAAAGATTGAATATACAATGAATGGAAGCCTATATCTAAATTTTATTGTTCACCCTTATTAAGCCTAGCCATTAAACCAATTTAAATTCCTATCCTAAATGCAATAATGTATAATTGAAGGATTTGATTTTTATTAAAACATAGCAACAAAAGGGAGACAATTCCATTAATACTAGCAAGTGAAGCAAGTGGAAAAACTCAAAGAAAAACACCCTATAAAGAAGCAATCAATCAAAAATTCAAGTTTGGGGAATTGAAGGAAGGACTATCAATGAATTATGAAGAGACCTTGCTTAAGTATTTATAATTTTGAGCTAGTGAAGAACTTAAGTTAATCTCCCTTTACAAATAAAAAAAAATTTATTTTGATGTGATGATGAAAATCTTGATAATTTGCATTGTTTGCACTTTTTGTCTATCCTTTTATCCTTTTTCTTTGTTTAACTAAAATTATACCTCTAAAGACCCCATTATAACCTAAATAAAGACTTTTTAATCTTTATAAATTGTGTACATTTCAATTGTAGAGAAGAAATTACTAATTTTGCCTATGGGAATGTTGGATTTATATTGTTAAACATCTTATTTAAAGGTTAAATAATTTTTGTGAAAATTTATATTCTATTTGTCATTATTTTCATTAGTTGAATAATGTATTGTTGTTGAGAAATCTATTAAAACTTTATGTTTAAATAAGGCAATGTGTTTTTATCGAGAATTGAATTTTTGCTAGAATATTAAATTAGCAATAGGAAACACTGATTAGTCTCATGTTTAATAATTTTTGATATTTTGAAATTGTGAAATAATTATTCTCCGACCATATTAGCTAGCTTTGTTAATTGTTTACTTGTTTTTAGTTTTTCCTTTTGTTTTTAGCTTTTGTTTTTAGTTTTGTTGCTTGAGGACAAGCAATGGTTTAAGTTTGGAGAATTTTGATAGGTGTTATTTTTATAGTATTTTTCATATAGTTTTTATTAGGATTTTTAGTATTTTTAATTACTTTAATTAGTTTTTATTTAGTTTTATTTATGTTTTTGTTCAAAACTTCGTTGAATCATATTTTATTTAATCTTAAGGAATTTTGTAGGATTTTTTTATAGAAAACTAGTCAAAAATGTAGAAAAGATTGTACCCAAGCCGTGCCAGATAGCACGCCCGTGCTGAAGATCACATTTTGCATTGGGCCGAGAATGTCAGTTTTAGCCTATACCGCTTGCATGGACCCGCATGAGACGCTTTTCTGATGTACCAATCAAGTTTAAATCCTATTTAGATGCTGTGAGAGTCCTAATTGGGAAGAAATACCAAGCCTAAACAGTTTCCTATTTCCAAAAGATTTCTTACTCAATAAAGATTCACTTTTGTTAAACGAACACGAAGATATTCTAGAAAGTCAATATAAATAAAGAGACTTGTGGCTCAATAGGAGTAGACAATAATGAGAGACTAGTACAATAGTCAAGAGAAGGGCTACGTCATTGAATGTAATATTGTCCGATTCTCTTGTTCTCATATTGTTCTACAATAAGTTTTCTCGATTTCGCTCTCGTCTCTCTAATCTCTCTCTCCAAGAGCTTGCAAGCATTCCAGAAATGTGGTGTTAATATTCTCAAAGAGCCGCCAAGAGACCTATCGTATTGAACTTAGTTTTTATTTTTAAGGAGAGAGACTTTTGCTTTTTTGTTTATTATTCTTTATGGGATTATTTACAAGTTTAATTGAGTTTTATTTAGTTATGTAATGTTGAATACTAAAACTCTCAGTACTAGGAATTTGATCGGTAGCTTATTTTTGATTCCAATTTATAATTATTAGATTTGGCTTTTCCCTATTGTATGATATAATTTATTATCTGACTTTAGTGCTTCCAAGGCAGAATATTTCTCCATGGATTGAATTTTATTTCATTAATTCATTTTATCAAGAAAAGGGTTTTTGATATGAATAGGGTAATATTGACATGAGAATAATAGATTGATGCGGAAGTATATGGGTTTGACTCAATGGGGTTTCTTCATAAGTTAAATGACCTAGGTTATAAATCTAAACAAACTAATAAAACTTAATAATTTAATTCATTGTTTGCATTTGCGCTTTGGAAGAGATAGGTATTAGACGGGTTAAAATAGCTAACATACATGGGAGAGCTTTATTAGTGATTTTTTAGGGTTTGTTTCCCTACTAAACAATTAAATTGATTATCAAACTAATAGAACTAAATTGGATAGAATTTGTGAAGTCAAAATCCCTAGTAGTTTTTAAAAATCCTTTGGAATTTCTTTTAATCAAAATTTGCCCTTGCTTGATTTCTTCTTATTGTCTTTATTATAATTTATTAAGTTAGTTCTTAAATTAATTCCCTTATTGCCTATCTACAATAATAGTCAGATTAATATAAAATAATAGTAGATTAATATAATTTTGGTACTTGGTATACAATCCCTATGGAAACGATACTCTACTCATTCTATATTACTTGTTGCGATTTCTTACACTTGCGAAAATTACTGTCAATATCTGTGTGAAAAAAAATTAATTATAATTAATTAGTATGTGACTTGAGTTCTTGAGATTAAAGTTGTGTTGGGCAATAACTTTTTATATAACTTTTCTAAATGCTATTTTTTTAGTATTTGGTGACATAACGTTTGAACAAATTTTTAAAAGTTAAGATAACATTTTATAAAAGGTTAACATTTCTAACGTGTATCTTTTAGCGTTTTATGCAAAACTACTTAAACAGCTACTTGCTACTCAAATAATTAAACGTTACTAAAACAATTAAGAGCTATCAAAACATTAATTTTGTCGAATAGGGCTTAAGTAAAATTCAGTTGTCATGACACATATTTTCAAATATAATTTAATTCAATTCTTATATTTATTCTATGAATAGATAAGTCCTTTTATTAATTTTTACTTTTGTTAATCAAAGTAAAATAAGTCACATTAAGTCATAAAATCAACATATTTATTCTGAAAGTGTTCTCGAGAAAATAAGTTGTCATAAAAAATTTTTTAAAAAAAATCCTTACCAATTTATGTGGAAAAAAATAATAAAAAATAAAAATAAAATTTGATTTTTCCTTTTCTTTTATTGAAATCAATAGCTTTTAATTTTATCATGGCAACTAAATTTTAGCTTTAAGAACTATATTTATAAATTTATCTGACATTTCATATAAACATCGTTCCTGAAATTACTATCCCATTGACCAACGCAAAAGAGACGAACAAAATTTCCTAAAAGACAGCAATATTTGAAGGCCAAAGCTTAACGCATGAGAGATTTTCATTTTCATTTTATTTTTTTAATATATTCACAGATGGTGGAAAACGACTAAAGCTAAACTAAATCAAATTAAATAATATTATAAAATTTGGTATATAAAAATAGCAATTTAATTTGGTTTTGGATAATTTTAAAATAATGAAGAGTCAATTATATTTCAAAATCACTAAATCAAAGATCTAAATTACATCTTTTGATATTTATAATTCAATTTTGTCAGATATATAATGTAAGTAATTAAAAATATAATTTCAGGTAAAAAAATTAATGATATTATTAAGAACTTTTTGAACAAATTAGAGACAATTTTTTATAATTTGATAAATTAAATAATTGGATTTGCAATTTAAACCTAGATAAATAA